AGCCAAGGGCAAGCCAAGGGAAGGCATGGAGGTGTGGCCTAATATGCTAATGTGCTGCACTGTCAGGGTGTGGCCTAGTATGCTAATGAGTTTCTGCTGGGCTTTTTCTACAAAAAAAGCCCTGTTAGTGGCAATAGCCTTGGTGGCCCTTGTGAGGGTAGAAAGGTGGGGTAGAAATTTTGTACAATAAAATAAAAATAAATCATGGACAATGAACCTTGGAAATCGTTCAGGCTCATCTGTTCCCTTCCCCTCTCCCTTCCCCTCATATGTGGCTCAGAAATTGATGACTTCACATTTCTAATATCCTGTAGTTTGTCATCTCATCCAGCTTGGACAAAATGATAAACTATGTTCTACTAAAAATGTGAAAGGTTTCTGTTTCTGAGCCTCACACAAGGGGAACAAGGGGGAGCGGACCATACAAGTCACAGGATTTCTAAGGCATATTCCTGAAATTACAAACTTGTCATGACAGTTGACTGCAGACACAGCACTCCTTCTGCCCGTGTGTGTGTGTGCGTGCGCGTGTGAGAAATAGCATGAAACCAAGAATGTTCATGAAAAACAAATGGATGAACAGAAAACTGCCTATAGATTGGAATGGGATGGAATACACTGCAAACAGAATCTCTCCTTATATATAATTGAATAGTGGGTGCCAAAGTTCTAATTCTAAAATGCACTCCCTTAGTGTATGGCTGATGGCACTGCTCCTCAGAATATATCGCCACCAATCAGAAGGCAAAGCCCGGGTCCCGCCCACACCACAACTGCTGCGACAACCTGGTCTTTTGCATATGGAAGCTGATTGGACTTCATTCCACACCTCAAACTCCCCCCCCCCACAAGGCAGTTGGAATGTCAGTTGCATATGGAATCTGCTGTATTCTGGTGGTGTGCAGGTCCCAGATTCATGTTTTAAAAGCAGACTGACACTGTTTGCCCAAAGCCAGAGCACTCTCCCAGAGCCTCTTTCTAGATCTCGTTGTATTTATTTCCACAAGGGGCCTTATTTCTAGTAAAATACTAAAAGCAGTGTACCAAGGGCTCATGTAAACCCAAAATGCCTCATGTGATCCAGATTAGGAAGAGTCTGTACTTGTAGGATGGACTGGGACAAAGGGAGAGAGAAATATAAATAAATAAAACCTTAGGCCAGCTAGTCTCTAGGTTCTTGTTTCTTTACCTTTTCCTTCCTCCTGTTCCTCTGGGCTCAGTCATCTTTCCATTCTACATATAGATTTGGAGGGAACTCAGCTGCTATGATTCTGATTGAGACAGATCTACCTTATGTCCATGGATTATAGTCTGGGCCATTCACATACAATGGTATTTAAATTCTTTTCATAATGAAGATTATTTTGCCTGCTTCTCATTAGAATTCCAATTATTGGCATTGCCTCCTTGTGCCCATTTATTGCAGCTTTAAGATCTTCTCATAACAGCAATACCTGAGCCACTGCTTCCCTCACAACCAATTGCTCTTAAGAACAGATGGTAGCAGGGTTATAGGAAAGAGATGGCATTACTTACAGAAAACATTGCAGCAGGAACTTTTTGGTATGGCACAGTTTGTAAGTCTTGAGTCTTTTTAACTTACCTGCCTTTCTTTATTTTTCTTAATTTGAAAGGAGAATGTCTTACAATGAAGTGCAGTTATAAGAAGACCACAGCAATAGAAAGAGGAATCTTAGGCACCTTAAAGATGAATAGATTTTTTTTAGCCCCCCGAAGGGGATTTTTTTAAATTACATTTTTATAAACACTACAAACTACAACAGAAATAGGATAAGGGACTACATCTAGGGACAAAGTAAAGATACCCACTAATACCTAAAAACCCAAGAGAGGAGATCTTCTAATCAGCTTACACAAACATCAAGTCTTAATTCCACTAATCCCTTTACAAACTGAGTCAGATATATCATTGTCTTTTGAAGTTCTTAAATTCAACCGTTATTAAGAAATACCCCCAAGCATCTCAATTCAACATTTTTAAAGGCACACATCAGAGTCCTTCAGCCTTCACTTCTCCTTGCCTCGTCTCTTCTGCAACTTATAAGGGCTTTTAGGAGCTGCTGCCCCTTTCTCTGAAAGAGAGTCCTTTCCAGAAGAATCCAAGTCCAGCTCGCCACTGGACTTACTGTCCTCCCCTTCTTTTTCTTCGTCCTTTGGCCCTCCCAACTGGACTCTTAAAAATTCCTGAGCTTTCAGAACAGAGTCAATCTTTTCTTTTCTATCCTTGATTTTGAAGGTGACGCCTTCTGGAGTTAGCCATCTATATCCAATTGAATTTGTCTGAAGAAAGAGAATAAGTTCTTTGTATTTCTTTCTCCTTAACCTTATTTCAAATGGAATGTCTTTGAGTACTCTGATGACATTTTCCCCCACTTTCAGGGGTACTCCAGATACTGCTTTCAGGATTTCATCCCTCACATGCGTCTTTGAGAATCTTACGACAATTTCCCCAGGCAGATTATTTTTCTTATTAGCCTTTTCCATTTGTAATTGCAGCAGCTGATCTTCTGTGGAGACTTGCTTCTTTTCCAGTTGTTTCACTTTCTTCTTCACCTTTTGTGCAGTGGCATCCACTTCTTTCACCTTCTCAGCTGTTTGAATCATCATTTTCAGAGTCTCGTTTATCTGGTTTTGCTGAGCGGTGATACATTGAGTCACTTTAGTCATCTGTTCCTTGAAGTTATTCATCTGGTCCATTAGGGGGTGCATGGATTCTGCCAAAGTCTTTGCCAGCTCGTTGGTTCCTTCCGGTTTTGGACTCTCAATTCCTTTCGCTTTCAAAAGTTTCTCCTTTTCCGGCCTCTTCCCCGCCATGTTTCTTGGATCGTTTACTTTTGCAATTTTTTTGAAAGTCTCTGAATATGCGCTTAAATGCTCAAACACTCCTTGGTAAGTACTTCTTAACAGTTTTAACCACTTATTCTTCCGCTCCCCCCCCCATTTGCTCAAAAGTTCATGTGCTCGGGAGGCGTCCCTCCCCCGCTCGCCTAATTCTCTATTGTGTAATTAGGGTGGAGAGCTTTCTTTTCTCTTTAATCAATGCTTAAATGACTCACATTCATAAGCGGTCCTCAGACGTCATTTACTTTCGGTTTTAAACGCTCGATCTCCTGCGCTTGCCCCGGTTAGCGTTGCTTAAGTCTATTTGGTCTCTCAGCACAGAGGACCGTCGGAATGGAGAGGCACCTCAATTCTCCGGCATTCCGCCATCGAAGAGGTGACCTCTCAGAAGTTCCATGGCCAGAGTCCCTTCAACCGGGTCTCTGGGGGGGTGACAAACCTGCGCACCCCCTCCTTCGGCTGGAGCGCAGCTTCACCCCTGGGAGGTCTGGGAGGTGATTCTGCTCTAGCATGCTGTCATCACCGGAAGTCAAAGATGAATAGATTTTTTAAACATAAACTTTTGTGGACTGTAACCCTTGATGAAGTGAGCCCTAGCCCAGAAAATCTTTTACTACAATAAACTGGTTACTTTTTAAAATGTCCACAAAGTTTGTGTTTAAATCACAAGGTGATTTTTTTTTTGCTGCAGAATACTAGCACAACTTATCCAACCAGCATCCACAGCAATATGGACACTCAAACCACTTTGTTTCTACTAAGGAACACAGTGAGTTCCCATCTCAAACAATGGACAGCATCCCCTGGGATGATAGTTGCAACTACAGGTGCTCAATAAAAATGTGGCTTTTGAAATGAGGACTGTGAAGGCTGTAAATATGGCTAAATCATAACAAACTGCCAAAGCCAGATGTTGAACAGCGTTCAGAACAGAATTGCACAGAAGTGAGGGTAGAGCACGTGATTGCATAAAATATACAGAACCCAACTGATCACACCTCTCATTCAGATCTTCATTTCAGTAATAATATTATCACCATAATATAAAAAATTCATATGGCAGTTTCTCCCTGCATATCACATTCAGTATCTCAGTAATCATTACACACAAAAAAACCTGTAGACCAGGACAGTATTATTGGTGCTACATTATAGCCGCTGTTCAAAGACACCCACTGTGTTTCTAGCTAAACTGAGAATGCAAAGTGGGGACTTTTGGACTGTTAAGATCATGCTCTCAATCACTATGCCACACCAACACATCCCGGAGTATAGGAGTTGAGTTTCAGAACGAGAGAGGCACAAAGTATGACTGGTCATGTCTCTGACTGTGCAGCGTATCCATCATACCATATTACAAGATTCCCCCCCCCCCGCCGCAGTGATTGTTAACAAGCTCTTAGTCATTAACAACTATGGCAAACACTCCCCAGTATAAGCAGCTGTCTGCCAAGTAAGCTCCAAGTGGAATGCATTATTATACCACCCTCTTTTGGAGATTCCAATGTTTTCAGCTTCAGAGAGTTACTCTTCTTATTAAACAAACTATCATGCATTCCACCACCATGGCTTTTACTAAGATATGTGGATCCAAGAAAGACACTTTGTTTCACGGGCTAGAGTTGCTTGTCAACAGGAATGAGCAGTGCTTTCACGATAAACAGCATGGGGGGGAGCTGGAGCACTACTCAGTCTTGATACATACAGACCCTCACAAGAAGCACAGACTTTCTTTTCACTGGAGCCTGCAGGATGCTGTGAATGCTCCTTTAAATATTATTTCTGAAGGCTGCAGAGAGAGGAGGGGAGGGA